TGAATCATTCCAATCGCGACACCAAAATGTGAGAATTGAGTTTTGTACGTATATCGGTATAACCAGACGAACTAGAAATCCAGAATTCAGCGGAGCGTAACAACCAACACGTATATATTCGAACTGGCGAATATGTACATAGAATAGAATATTAAAACAAGAGGATAATGAATAGAGCAACGAATAGAGTATCAGTCATGTTCATCACAATTCTGCAAACGGTAAATGTAGAAACAAATAGAGTATCAGTCATGTTCATCACAATTCTGCAAACGGTAAATCTGTTGTAGAAACAGCATTTGCCAGTTTTGTTGGTAAAGGGGAATGTGATTAGTAATTGTTGCAAACTTATAGAGGGACTGTCCGTCAGTTGGTCAATATTGCATTGACTGTTACTTAAATGAAGATTCCCGACTCCTCAGTGGCCGACGCTGTGGCAAATTAGCGGGCTGGAACGCGGCTCCTGTAATTATCGAATTGGGGAAGTTTTTAGTTTAAGCTATCCGAAACTGTGAAAATTAAATATACTGCACTTGAAAAAAAAACGGATTAGAAAGGTTTTTGCATTCTTTGAATTCGTCTGCACTTGTAATGCAAGTCAAGTGGCCAATCTATTTCCAGTTCCTTGTTTCTGAACTATCCGGCAATGTTAGGCAGCTCTACTCCAATCGTGGCACATTATATCAGATTTACTGATAGAATTCACCGTGAAGTTAAATAATTGAATGCTAGATAAGCGGACACTTACACACTGCATTCGATTTCTAGTCAGTAAGTAAAAGTACCAATAAGATACTGGGAGGCTAAGACTGTCAGGCCGGTGAGTTTTCCCATTACAACATATTTTCGAACTGACGCGAACTTTATTTAGCATTTGGATGCTCTGGCCTTCTGAACTCATTCAGGACTGCTCACAAAGTAGTCAATATCACAAACCCCTCTTGGTATCGTAACTGCTGGAATGCTTTGGAGGTGAAAGCCAACAATGCGGAAGGAAAAACATTCATAGTATTATTGCGTCCGCTCCAGCTTTTTTACGAATAATCTCGATGGAGCAACGCTGGTAGTCTTCGACCTGAGAGACTGAGGGCCATTTTAGTTACATACTGATTCAAGTTGCGAGGTAAGGATACTGCTTCGAGTAGCCCGAACACCTAGTCCGGGTACGGGTCACACCTCAAGAACAGAACGATTTCTCTCATATAGAACCTAGCAAGTGACTAGGCATTATTTTGGGTTGAATTAAAATTTACGTTTGTCCGTTTTTATTCTACTTTATCCTTGCACCTGCTGATCCGAATCAGTAGCGTAGAAGGGGATCAGAATGATGGTTTCCGGAAAGGTACGGGCGAGCAAATGATTCACATTCACCTACTTTCTTTTAGGGAACGCCAGACAAGCATTTCCATTGCACACTCTCTTCTGCTACCGAGCGTCGGTTAGCCGATCTGGAGGACAAGCTTAGCTCTCTGATGGCATTACAGTTAAGCTGTTTTGGTCAACCGGGTGCTGTGCATCGGGAATATTCATTTGAAACACCTGGAAACACACGAAACGCATTGCCCATCATCTGCGAAAGAAACATGCCCATTCTGAACAGTGCTGGCGAGGGATATGTTGACGGTGGACAAGTCAGACAACCGGTTTGCGAGGTAAGTATGCATGATTGCACGAATAACCCGTATGTTCATCCAAACACCCGAGCCGTTTATGTCACCAAATACTCTCATCCATGGTTATCATATGAGTTCTGAATTGGCACTTTCTTGGCTAATCGTTATTTCTGTCTTCAAATAGGAGTCTTGTGGGCGTCATTTTGAAGTTGCACCTCAACAGCCACTGACCTCAGGACGGAATAAACAATCGCACCAGAAAGATGATATACTTGGTCTCTTCTGAAGAAACCATCTGAAAAGACTGGGCAAAAGTTGTTTTGTTTACCCGTTCTGAGACCTAGATGATGATGCAGGAGACTAGGGTCCGGTCGTAGGTGTTTTCCCTTTTGTGAGTTCAACTCTGAAACCTAGGTACTCCGAGCTACCTGTTTGCGGGCGTTAACCGAAGTGTGACAGCGTAATGGGATATTTCGTCCTTCTGCTTGACCCCGTAACGAACATCCTCATTTTGGCTATATTTTATCAGACGGTGGCTGGTTCCTCAACAAATTACTTTCTTGGATGTCAACCTGAAAAGCACTAGTTCTATCCAAATATTTAGGTGGGTACCGTGTCATCTACCTTACCAAGTTTATTGGCATCTAGACGCTTCCATCATGATCTTCGAGGGATCTAGGGTAGTTGGTTTTCCAAACGATATGCGGCTACTCGCTAGTTTAGGGTATCGGTAAACTATTTTAAATATCGAATATGGTTATTGAACTACATCAACGTCACTTTCCCCGAAGTGTAGCGCGAGAACGGATAATTTGGGCTCCAGAATCAAATAAATTAGTTTGCTGGAGAAAAACTCCATGACCCGTTGATTTTAGCCGAACTGAGGACTTTAATCAACTTACATTAGAACAAGGGTTACCCTCCATTTAGATCTTACACTTTCAAGGTTTGCTGACCAGGTTTCCATCCTACTTGCTCTGAGTTGCTAACGGACACGAAACCTGAAGACTAGTTCTAATCCAAGTCCGAAAATTTCCAGTTGTCGGTTTTGGGCGTTGTTTGTAGTGCACCGGTCTACTTACATTTCATTTAGCTTGTGGGCCAACAGGTTGCCTGTATGAAGAAGATTGTGTCCCGAGAAAACTACTGCTTATGTTGGCGCTGATTTAGCCAAAGCCGTGAGTTGTTAAGAATTTAGTTATCGATCGATCGATTGATTGATCCAGTATGAATTGGTTTGACTTCCAGGACGAAATTATCATTGAGAAAAATGAAATTTCCTCTAGATCTTGAGGATATGGACTCTGTGAGAGCAGGATGAGACGTGGTATATTTTGTTGGATTTAAAATCACTATCTTTCTGCGGAGAGGTCACTGCCTAATAAAATAACACACCCGTTCGAGTTGTGTCCGTTTCAAAGAGTGTAGGTTTTTACTTTTTGACGTGCTTGTTTTCTATCCAACACCACGATCCTATCCAACTCAGAAAGCGCGTTTTTTGACCGTGATTTATATCAACTATCTCTTGTGGCTAGCCTTTTTTCTGAGTTCACCCACCATGTTTGATGTAGTCATTTGGTTGGTTCAATAAATTGATTTAGATCATGTTCTCTATAGTGGAGCCGTTATGTTCTGTCATCAGCTGTCCAGTTATTGTTGGAACTACACGCGCCTTCCAGGATATTTCTCAGTGTACTAACTTAAGTAGAAGCAGCCTTCAACAAACTAATTTGCAGGAATTCTATAGAGGACAACTTGCGAAGCACTCGCTATTAAAGAAAGGCGGGTCGTATGAACTAGTTTTATTTTAAGCTCCTCTAGAACACCTTTTCGTTACGAAGCTGCCGCCCGTGCCTTTCATCCAGTGTTTTGTTTGGCACCCGAGGCCATGACTCTCGCCATTGTAGGATGAGATTAAGCTTCCTTGTAGATGGGTCCTCTTCCAGTTGAAGAGTTAGGTTGCTCCTACTGAGGTAATTAAACGAATAATGACCTCGGTCAGACTTTCAGACAGCGGTCAGTGCTGTTGTATGTATGTCGAGTCTTCGTTATAGTTATGTCCGTCGCATCGGAGATGACAATTTCTATGTAGACGTGAGACTGTGTTAGAGCTTCAGACTCAATAGTTGGGCGATGAACCGATTTAATTTAAAGGTATTTACTAGCTTTTTATCACGCTTGGTTATCCGGGTAGCAGCTGCACCTCTTTTCCTGTGCTAACATGGCTGCTCTGTATCAGATCGACCTGGTGTAGAATTTTCCATCTCAAGCTCGATATTGCACCACGAGAACATCTGGTTGCTCATCTGATGTGTTGGGTTTTGTGATAAATGGAATGCAACGGACTGGTATAATGTCCAATTCATCTTGTGCTCCTCACACTGTAAGTTGTACACCTACTCCCGTCTATATGACGCGGAATTGGTGAAAGCCTTGTGGCGACCATGGTTGTAGGGTATCAAGCACATCCTTCATACCTGTCTCATTGCGTCTCTGGTATCCCCTTTATCTTTCCAGCATGAAACCAAAGCAATGACAGTTAGTTCCGCACAGGCAACAAGTCAGTTTACATACTCTTTTCCAATGTGCATAGTTCACGCGTACATATTTTATTTTATTGAACACCGATTCATTTTTCTCTGTCAAGATGAGATGTCCGTGATGGCAAGTTGCTCTGTAAATAACACTACGTTTGAGATTGTGGAAAGCTTATCAGCAGCTTACTACCTATTTTACCCTTCTTGAGACTGATCAGGCAGGCATATTAACCTATTTTTCCTCAATTTTTTACTCTACTTGAACACCGAGTTGTGCACAATTGGCAAAATACATTAATTTGCAGACTAATTTGATGGATACGCAACTGAATTTCTCGTTCGTGATGTCCTTCCGTTTCAATATGCTACACAAAGTCAGCCTCACGTTTTGTTGGAACGATATTCGGGATATCGTGGTATATTTCTAAACGATATGCAATCATATGGTTACTGGTTACTTTGTTTCAGAAATGTAGTTCGTGTAGGCTTGTGCTAAAGAATCGACAGCCAGAAAAACAGGAGTCAAATGTTTGGTTATGTAATGGGGACTTGAATCGCTAGCGACTTATTCACTTATTCGCATATTCCTCCCCTGGTGATCAGACTTTTATCTTCCTACAGTCACCTCTTGGGAGACAGTGCACCTCTCGTGATACAACTAAGTTTGGGTCCGAGTCATTTGTCTATCTTCTTAGAAGCACGCTGTCATCGCAGCTACTCTATGGTGGTACATGCATTTGTGTGACTGTTTCGGCAATAAGCAGGGATGTGGCCGTTTCAGTGTTGACTTAGTGGGTTTGCCTATGCTTGCGGATTCTAGTTGCCTTGAGAGCTGGTGCGATGCGAAACGATGTTGAGTTGGAAGAACATCTATCAACTGCATGGCATCATGATGTGACCCAGAATTGCATGGTGTGAAGAATTTGTGACTTGTACCAGGCTGAACTATGCTTACTTCCGAACCCGTACTTCACATGACACCTGGGTTGTTGGTTTAGTTGCTTAAGTACCATCAAGGTTCAGGGGTTTGTTTTATTTATTGATAAACAGGCTCAATCAAACCAGCTCAGACTGACCGGTATCACAGTTTTTCCTTATGTTTTTCAAAAGGTGGGTGTCCTGATCTTGAGATTCGTTGATTGCATGCAACATATACCTCCACGTTGTTGCATCTTATAAATTTTAGTGCCCCATCCTGGCGAAACTCTGGAAGTATCTTCAACCAGACGACCAACCACAGCAATTTTTTACAAAAGTCCATCGCCTGTCACTTTTAGTTTGGCAACGTCACATGATGCCCCACATGCAATAGCAGAGGAACATCCGCCGGGGGCTCCCAAAAGACCGAACACCGTTCGAAATACGGCCAGGTCCAACGGACATCCTGTGTAAGTTGTGCTGTTCCACTGATTCTTACAGACGTCCGTATGCAACTGTTTTACCCTACAGTGGTGTCAGGTCGATTAGATATCCAGTTACGTCTGTTCAGCGATTATGCAGTGGAAAACGATAGTTATGGGCACTAACTAGAAAGTATGGGAGTATCAGTACAGCCGCATGAGAACTTTGATGACATTTTTTGATATCAAAGCACCACACACCCCCTCCGACACAAGCCGCAACCATAGTAGCGCGATGTACTTTTGCCGCGATCACGTTTAATGATCTGGAACCTGTCTCCAAATTGGTGTTTTGCTTGGTACTCTTCTACAGCTAAATACCTTTTGTACTTAGCTACCTGGTTTGGTGATATCACTGCTTTTAAGTAGGTCTTCTCATTTGACTTCTTCTAGTACACCGGCTATGGGTTATCGTAAAAACCGTCAAATGCCTGACTCACTGTCATGGGACGGTGTCGTCAATGAACACTAATGAAAGAATTCTCTTATAGAACGGAAATCTCCGATCCCAGACGCATGACATCACAGGAGACGAAAAATGGTTAGAACGACACCTCTCCAAGAAAGTCATGTTTTAGTGAGAGATAATGCACCGTCACCGCAGAAAATGTATAATGTGTTTTCTGGGACAAAGCCTATCAATTTTACTGTTAGGTGAGTGCCGATGAAACGAGAAAAGTTCTTCGCTGCGAAGTCTTTCATTGGCAAACACGAACTATTTGAAGAGGATAAAACCGTGGGAAAGAAGAAAGCTAGCAGTTTTCGCGAAAGAAGACAGGTCGTCTGTGAGATGGAACACTCGTCAAACGCCACGTATTAATAGTATTCTACGATACTGAAGATACACAGCCATCCAAGCTTCTGTTTTCCTTATGAAAATAAGATCCCTCTTAGAAGCAATTATTTCAAGGAAGCAAAATTCGCACCATTACTGGTTTTTATCGTTCCATTTCTATTATTGTAACATTACTCTCCTAGAAACATGAATTTTCAATATGTGAAATTGCCGGTCAAGCACCGAAGAGGGAATATCCCCTCCGTTGAAGTTACTATTTCTCAGACCAACTCATTTTGTCACTCGTGACTCCATTCTCGTTTGTTAAAGCCATGGCAAGCCTATCAGCTCCAGACGTGCGAATTCCACGCCGAGTGGTAATTATGGAACAACAATGCCAGTTCGTGAACCTCTTTTTTCAAGATCTCCGATAGGTAAAAACCCAAGTATGCAGCGCCGGTACGAATCTCGGGAACTAATGGATGATAATCTTGGGAGAACCCTTGGAGTAAGTTGAAAATTTCTAGTTGAAGCATTCTAGCAGTTCACAGTTCACACACAGTATTATAAACCTACCTTCCAAATTTCGAACGGCCTCATTTGCCACTGAACCTCATGCTTTCGTATACCTGAGTTTTGTACGCAATATGTGGAGTTAGAAAACTGATCTGTTTTAGATTCCAGTCCTTATGTCATACATAAGGAGACTATGCAGAAGTTGGGATAATTCGGGGAATTTAGGGTTCGCTTGTTCCGATGTCGTCGCATGAATGCATAGGTTATTATGAGTTGTGCTTATCTTCATGTACAACAAAACAATATTTGCTATCTTAGTGCTCATGGATTACTAAGCTAAATACAACTGAATCTGAGTGAAGGTGTTCCACAAATGTCGCCTCAGGTCCCAGTTGAAATGAAACTCAAGACATTAGAGTTTTTGGATACTACTCATAAGACCGATGAAAACCCTACTGCCGATCACATAATTTTTTGGACTAATCGTTTAGGTCTGGTCCTCAAGTTTGCATCAATCGCCCCCAAAATGAGTGAAACCGGTAATGCATTCTTAAGAATTATCACATATTCTGTGATTTGTGTCATATCAAAAAGATACGATACTTCATTTTTTCGTCCCCCAGTGATCGATTTTATAGTCAGGAATAAAAGTTGTACTGCTTATACTTGGAGGTCCTCCACTTAACTTATAGTATCTCTCTTTTATTCAGGTACTGTTGATTTCTGCCTCCCTCTTTCAGTACTCGTCGACAGACTATGGTCACATTCTTTCTCCAACAATATTCATTCTTGCCATTTGCTGAGGTAATCGTGCGTTCATATGCCCGACTTAATTCGACGCTGTTTTTAAATGTATGACAAAACTCTACCGATCGTGCACCTTGCAGAAGGGCTCAGCTCTGTCAAGATGTACTTGTGTATGGTTGAACCTCTAGAACCGCGCAACATATATTGATTTTTATTTGTTTTTCTCGGAATCAACCACACAGCAACTTCTTCAAGAACTGCTTACGGAGCGCAGTCAACGCAAAGAAGCGGAAAATGTTTGTCGTGAACTGATGGACCAAGTGCGTCGTCTTAAAGCGTCAGGTAAGCTCACTCCATATTGTGTAATTTCGATTTTTCATATTCAGGAGTATGTCCCAATATTAGAGAAGACAAATATCTACTCCTTAACTTGCGTAAGGACACCACGGGAGATTGGTAGGAGCTGTAGAACTCTTTTCTCGACAGCAGTAGTTGATTAATTTGAGCGTACATCGGTATGTATGCTTTGGTAGCCCTGAGGTTATTGATTCTTTGTATGCTCGAGAAACGGATCCTAAGTAAAAGTTAAGAACTCCGCACCTAAATATTAGCAATTTCCGAAGATCTCCGTGTAAAAACGCCTGTGAACTGTGTTAGGTTTGAAAAGTGCATGCATTCTTTTCCCTGATTTATCATCAAAGTTCGGTTGTTTTTTACCTGTTATTTAGCATAAAATTTTGGAGAACACTATATTTCCAGAAATCGCTTCTACAATATGCTTTCTTTTCACGAGCATTCGTCTAAACAGTAGTCTTGCGTTCTCAGGTTTTCGCCAAAATACATTTTAATCTCAGCTGTGCAGCCTTTCCTGTGCAGTTCGAAATTTGACATATGGACCATTGCCTCTGAACTCTTGAAAAGGTAGGTGTTAGTGTTTTTCAGCCATGGAATAAGGGTTGGAGCATATCTGTCGAACAAGGCCTTTGCTGCGTTGCTTCATAGCCGAGTAAGTTGACAACGTCTGTGGGTGTTGGGCTGCGCATTGGTGCGGCTAACTATCCATGAACCGAACATGACCGTACGACATGACATAGCAAGTTAGCTTACATCAGGGTCGCTTTCCGACGCAAATACTAAAAACGCGTTCCACTGACACGTTCCAACGCTATACCTTTAGCAGTTGGTATACTGTTTTAAATTCTGACCAAGAAGGCTAAACCAGATCCTTTAAAATGCCAACATTCATCGGTTATTGGCGTTCTAAAATGGACAGAACATTTATTGGTTTTTTACTGTTTGCTAAGACGCAAACTTGGGCAATCCTGTTTGCCAACACATAGCCAACCAATGAACGTCTGAATACCTCTTCGTACAGTTGCTCCCCATCCCGAAGAGAGCTTTCAAAAAACCACAATTGTTTTCGTTTCTGGAGGAAAGCAACCGAGTCCATTTAGTGCACTTTAGAAAAATGCACCTTAGTTTTTGCCGCCAAAATATTTGCCTCCGTTTCTAGGACCCTAAAAGTACTCAAATATCGTCACTCGTGGCATCGCAATTCGGTATTACTGCTTCGCGACCTGAGTAGGTTCCAAGTCGTTGTCTGCTATGGCTTAGCTCGTGGGGCAGTTATCGAGCAGGCACTGCGTGTGAGCTTAGCTCACAGGCCTTTGCCATCTCGCTTCTATTCAATGTATTCTTATTTACTTGACGAGCTAGTAAAAATACGCTTGTAATACGCTTGGCTTAGGTAATCTTCTATCAACAACCTGTGAAGGGTCTCATAATATCACAGTTGGATCAGGAACTGTTGGTTGAAGGAGTTGCAAGTAGTGCAATGCTTAATTTGCATCGGTCGCATTTTTAAAATAAGGTATCAATCGATATCATTTGGGTAGGATGCTCTGGAGCGAAGCACTAGTGTGTTTCGAAAATGGTCCCTATTGTTCAAAATTCAGAGAAGTGAGATTCACTAGCCTGTGTGTGTTCTGACTCTTCTACGTGCTAAGAAACTATTCTGTTATGAACTAGTTGCCACGTCTATTCGTTTCAACCTAGATTTCGGAAGAAGAAACAGCGCATTTCTAACGCGAGTTTCTGTATCGTGTTTTAATCCCACGGTTGAGCGAACCCGGCTTCATGAATTCCAGCCCGTTTGGTCAGGTTGCCTGGGATCATTATGTAAATTGAGCGGTGGTTCTAGCTTAACTAGACGTGAGTACTTGTGGAGATCACTGTACTGAGTGTAACGGGTACTGTTGGTTGAATCTGCTCGTTAACGGAGGCGGATTAAAAATAACGCACCTGAGAATTAGTCAGTCGTATTCTCTTGCTGAGACCCTGAACAGGTCCTGGTGTGTAAAATAGATTTACCTGCGGCGATCTTAGAGCGTTCGGAGGCATTCACCCCAGGAATAACTAGAGATTATACGCTGTGGTTTCCAACCGAACAATACAGTTCTCCAAACATTCCCTGGTCAAGTGAGGTGGTAAATCGCAAGTTTTCCGAATTTAGAGGTAACGGGAGCTACGTTGTAACAAGTCTGTTTGGAGGATTTCATTTTCCAAGGGCGTTTACCCCCAACGACAGCGCTGTTATTCACTTTCGTCCGCAGCTGAAACTTACTCAACTTACGAATATTTGTAATCCACGTGTTGCGTCTAATTTGGGTTCAGATGAAACACGGGGTTGACGGAAAACCGAGGACCGCGCCTACCGAATAACTTCCAGGTGGGACGAAACCGATCGTTCACAGATATTTCACCAACCTGAGTAGTGTTACCCCACGTCATGGCTGAACTGTGTTGTGAAGTCCCGTCTAGCCCAGTCACACGTCACTGTTAATCCCTCTTGAGATTCGTCGGATAGACGTACAGGGACTAAATACATCTTCTCCATAATCTTGCCTCGCATGTAAATCAACCCCTTGGGCTCACCTTTGTGGATATCCTTCTAAGCATTCGCGTGCTTACCATTGCTGTGATTGTAAAATAGCCTATTTATGTGGAGATCCTTATATAACAAAATTCTTGTTGTCGTTTACTCCAGTTGAGTTACGAACTGCGTACTCTGATCGTAGCACTAATATTCTGCATGGTGTCTTCTTCGTTTGATACGGTATGTTGTGGCGTTTGTTGTGTATTTTATGGAAATCACCACTTACTAATAAATTGTGGGTAGATTGCGGTCACCGATCGATTTTCAGTAAGATCACTTGGTCTGCGGTTGCCGGTACAAAATTTATCTCGAATTTGCTTGTTGCGCGCTCCTCATGTATTTTCCGGTGGACTTTACGTATCTCATACAGCTGTTGATGAAGCTAAGGTTATGGAGGCGACCGAGAAGTTGAAACAGGCATTTACGGCTGAACATCGTGCGCGATTGGACGCGGAGACACGAATTCGCGAGCTGGACGTAAGTCCCTAAGTTCTTTCTCACAGAGTTTTGTGCATTGTCCATTGCACACTATCGTTTGTCATTGACAACATGCCTGCTGTTTGTAGGGACGCCTGTTGGAAGTTTCGTCCACTCTGGATCTAATGCAAACTCGGGAAGAAACAGAAAAATCACGCATGGTTGAAGAAGTGAGCTCTTTTGTTTTGTCTCTTGTTCATCCCTCTTCTCTTTGTCGATACCCTGTGGGTTCTGATAAGCCTGAAATGTCTTTCAGTCTTTCCCATTTTCCTATTGTTCTATTTTCGATTGTCCTATACTTTAGTGGACTAAATCGGTAATCGCCCGATCAATAATAATGAACTTGATCGCACTACTTTGACCAGTCCATGTTAACTCTGCCTCCAACTTAGCATTAATGTCAGTGAACAGTATTACTCCCTTGAACCTGGACGAGAAAACTAGCCAGATGAAATATATATCAGTGAAAGCAATAGCACTCGCCTAATTGGTTACGAATTGTAGAAGTTCCATTTAAACCCGATGTTTTGCGTGCTTTTTTTACTACAAGACGAATAAAATGTCCACTCGGTTGATGGAGTTGGCAAGAGACTATGAAAAGGCCGTAACTCGGGCAGAGCAAGCAGAGAAGAAAGTGAGTGAGATGCAATCCTTGCTCCAAAAGCGGGACTCTGAGAACAAGTGAGTTAGAATGGATTTTTTTAGCAATGAAATATTAGTTTTTAAACGCAAAACTTGTAACAATCCTGTAGTTGAGGTGAGGTTTCCCGAGAGAATATTGATTTTTCAAACCACTCTTGTTAGTTTGTTCTTCTTTGAGCCTGTAAAACCACACCGATAATTTGATCCACGTGTTTCTTCGAGCTGTATGGCAGCCATACATTGACAAGGCGTCGAAGCTGGACCAGTTCGAATTCTGGAAAATGTCGGAATAGGAACTGAAATTGCGCTATTTAGGTTTACATTCACCGAGATTTATAAGATCTCACTCTCGGTGAGCGTTGGTCCCTCTGTTTAACGTTGACGTCCCAGTTATTCTGCTTTGTAGTTCGTCTGGTAGATGCAGTGTTTTGCCTGTCGGTTCTGTAGCACAGTCCACTCACTGTGATAATGCAGTTCATGTGGGAAGTAGTTCCTCTTTGAGAAGCTTGTTGATGGACATCTCTCCCTCTCCCCCTCTCTCTCTCTATATATATATATTTGCTATATATGTTTGTTATATGTTTATTATATATGTTTGTTATATGTTTGTTATATTTGTTATACAATATCCCTACCGCTTCATTCAGTCTTCTTATTTTCAACCTTGTTGCTCACAGTTAGTCTTACTGTGCGCCCTTCGCCACCGTCTACGAAATTCACTGTGAATGCTTGTGAACTTACTCTCCCTGTGACGTTTTTAAAGATGATTGTAATAATCTACAGTCATCCATCGGTATTATTCCGGGTGATCAATGATTTCCAAGTTCGTTTTGTTCAACTTTATCGTGCTGTGATGGTTTGTGTGCTTCCGTAACCCGATGTACTGGGTACTATCCATGCCACACTCCCAGAATCTAATGCAAGCACGATCAACAGGTAAAGGTCCGACCAACACAGTTCCATGATCTCTGAGTTTTGGGTTTCGAACGTGTCCAGTGACTGATCTAGCAGCCTCTCGAAACTTTGTCTTACATCGGTCGTCAAATGGTTCCATCCCTCAGATCAGTTATATGCATGGTAAACAAACGTCTGACTTTTTATGTCTTTATTCTTGGCTGCATTTCTTCTATGTTTGAGGACCACGCTTCTGTAGATCCCGGCTGCAGACACGTCATTCCTGCGTCCAAGTTGGTGCCGAATAGAGTGTCACTGCCTATACCAATCGCTCCATGGCCGTATTTCGGATCTTGCGCCTCCTTTTACAGTCTTAGGTAGACTCAGGAGTGACCTGCTCCAACGCGCACTCTTAGCACACACTAAATGATTTTTTGCTGCATTTCCGAAATCCAGATCTGATATTCGAGCCCACAGCATCTTCGCCATCTAGAGACTACTGACCACAAAACTCAGACGCTGCGGTTAGCTGCGCTAACATTGATATAACTTACCTCATTTTGCTGGGTACCCGTATGCAAAAATCTGTCTGTTCTTCGTTTGTTGACTTCCATAAAAAACTCGTACAAACTGAAATATCGTGTGCTTTTCGTTTTGTGTTTATGTCTGCGCACCAACCAACCCTAGTGCTAATTCGAGAAAATGCCTTTTATTTAGAACTGGTCGCCCTCGTATCGTGTACGAGGAGTTCGGTATTCTCCGAAGGTCTAATGCACAGCTTGTCCAAGTGCAATTTGGTGCCAATTTTAGCCTGAAATCAAGCATTATTGATATGGTTGTTTGCGTGTTTGTATTGATCACCGATTATTCATCACTAGAACAGAGTTAAGGCATTGTATGCGTCCGTCGTGCCATTGAAATTTTGAACAGCGCTTATCCTATAACCAGTAGCTACCGATGACCAGGATAGCTTCCGGGCGCACATTATAATCTGATGTGAACTGATAGTGAATTTCCTCGAAAAACCTAAAGAGCGACCGTTCACTTAGCTGCCGAAATATGTCTTATGTACAAGTCGAACGAACTTTTTGAGAGAGAGAGAGAGAGAGACAGTCTGTCTGAAGCTTTAAATGTCGGCTCCTTCAGAAGACAGCAAGCTTACGCCAGGTGGTTCATTATAATTCCACCGAAAAAAATTTAGCATTCGTAACAGACTGCATATCCCTCCGGTCACTGAGCACAGTTTATTTATGAGGCCAACTCGATCGGATTCTGTGTGTATGGACAAGTGTGAAGCATTTAAAAAGCTCTGGAATCGGATGAGCCAAGTGCAGCTGATCGAGGACACCTCTGGAATTTTGTTTTGCCGCATGACCTAACGTCTTGGGCCCCGGGTGACTAGTTTTGAAATCAATCTAGTTGCTCGTCCTCTTATGAATCCATATCTTTCATTCTACGTGCTCGACCTATGTAAGTTTTAATGCGTCTCAGTTCCCGGAGTACTTATGTATCTCGTTCTTCGTCCACTTCAAAAACACCTTCGGCTCCGTGGATTTATTTATTTACTCAAATGGCTCGTGACCTCGGGTGTCGAATTAAGATCTGGATGAGACATATTCGACTTGGATCATATAGGTGATGTTCCGCCGTTTAGTATTCATCTATCGTCATAGTTTTCTCTAAATGGATTGCCGAAATCGGTTCCTTGAATCAGCTTGATCCTTGTGCACCCGAAATTTGAAATCCCTCATTAGAATTTTTAATCCTCCTTGTGTTCCCTTGAAACTTAAGAATTATCGACTTGTACTTTGATAAATGAATTCGTTGTATAATTTACAAGACATGTTCAATATTTGACAATTTGCGTCATCTCCAGCTTGTCCGACTATGATTGCCGCCGCTATCCGAAAACCACAAACATCTCTCAGTATTTTGCCACCGACACATTCGTAGAATTAGCTGACTGAAGGTTATCTGCAATGAGGTGAACCACGTAGCTGCTTGGTAACTGGTCAAATGTGCTGAAGCATGAGTTAGGGCTTGTCAGATTATGATGGTTTGGACGTGCGTGGATACCATCATTTGTCATAAAGGCTCAGTTTGCTACTGCTTCTCCTTGTTCATGAAAGGTTCTTGCGGACAAGCCATTGCTTTTCGAGGTGAAATACGAGTTGTACTTCGGTCGGATGTTTGGGTCCATATGGATCCGTATGAGGAAGATCCAAAATATTGCACGTGACCGACCCTGATGGCAGGGATGTTACCACTTCATGGCCGGTTCGCCTACCCAGGACCTGCAGTGTGTTAATTGGGGTTCACAAAGAGCGATGGTTCTACCGCACTTGTGAAGGTCTGTTTTAACACGGCGCTGGGATATTTGGAACTCTTAAGTGTTTCCCCTAAGGATCCTATCAATAAGTTCCTATTCTTTCGTCTTCATTCTTCACATAGACTCAGTTCCTTCCTGGTTATATGACAGGATATGTTCACTAATGCAATACTGTTGGCCATAATGGTGATGGTGAACTTTTTGAACGTTTAACCTCTTTCTTGTGTAGGTGACCAATAATTTCTTTCATGTGCCTACCACATTTACTGTTTCAGAGAGCTTTTGGAAAAGCGTTTTGCGCTTGACAGTCCAGAACTGAACCAACTGCTTGCGGCTCACACCGAAACGGTTGAACTTCGCCATCAGCAAGCACTGAAATCCTTAAACGAAAAGTGGGTTTTTAATCAATTATTTTGTTTCATGCCTTATATTCCCTAGCTGATTTGCGCTCTATATTATAGTACTTTTACGATGTTGGAACACTAGTTCACTTGCCACGTTCAAATGTTTCAAATGAAATTGATACAGCTCGGTAATGATCCCCAAAAATAGTGATCCTGGTAGTGGGAACTTTTCAACTCTATAAGTAATGTCATGTCGGAGAAAATGCTTCGATGTCTTGAATACCGTTTAAGCATTAATTGGTATATACCGTTGGAGAATATCGTAAAGGAGAGATTCAGGTGAACCCATCCATTAACAAAGAGTGTTGCACATGCCTCTAACTTTATATTCAATCTCGAGATCAGATTGACAGAAAGTAACCCTCTAGGTAAGCCCCAAAATTTGTCAAGTTTATCTGGCTATCCAAGAATTCGTCAGTCTTAAAAAATGACGTCATGTCAACAAACAGATCACCATATGAACGTCAAAGTATGCAAAATAACGACTGTGCCCCAGTTCACTCTTCAGTCATATCCTCATGCTAGCATTTTCATCAGAACCATCAAACACCTAAACAAGTAAAAAAAACCGGCATCATCATCATCATCAACGACAGCATGACATCAGTGCTCAACACCAATGCTTCACTGCCGTACAGCCATGACTTATTTGAAAGCCTTATTGTAAAGAAAAGAATAAAGGTGGATGGGGGAGGGACTTAGTGCTAGCTTAACACAATCATTCCGAGGTGCCTACACCTCCAGACATTCACTCAGGCAATCGGGATAGAAACTGACAACAAGAACGCCACTGACATCGGGTGCCAGCCATATCTTGTAGTGTCTCCAACAAGGCACAGTGAGGATCACGCGGTCCCCATCCTGCAAGGCGAGTAGCACCGACAGCACCCAAGCGTTTCGTCATCTCCTTCATACTCCTCTGCCAGGTCATCGGTTGGCCACCTCTCTGTTTACGCCACTCCGAATTGGGCATGGAAAACAGTACTCTCTTCGGCAAACGAGGCATACGTAACACATGTCCCAACCAACGCAGCCTCTGGTGCTG